GCGCGACGGCGGCGCCGCCATGGCACCTGCGACGCCCAGCGGCCGATCCCCGTGATGATCAGCGAGGCGATCGGAGGAGGAGGAGGAGGAGGGGGAGGAAAACTACCAAGAAACAGAAAACGAATACGTGGGAGGACACAAGATATGACGACGAGCGACGACGGCGACGGCGGCGGCGACGGCGGTGGCGACGGCGACAAGGACGACGACGGCGGCGGCGGCGACGACGATGGGAGTCAACCATAAAGCCCTTTGCGGGTCTTTCGCCTCGGGAGCCTCTTGGAAGCCTTCTGGGGTCATTGTGGGGCCTTTTCGGGGCCGTTCTGGATGCCTTCGGGGCCGTCTTGGAGCAATTTTGGAGCCCCTCGGGTCTCTCTCGGGCCCCTCTTGGGGCCCTCTTAGGGCCCCGTTGGAGTTTTTTCGGGGGGGCCTCGAGGGGCCTCTTGGGGCCATCTTGGCGGCCATGGACCAAAGAAGGGGTGTAACAAGTTAGCCCTCCCCTCCTGGAGTCCGAAAGATGCCCTCATGGGGCGCTTTTGGGGCGCTCTTGGGGCACTCTTGGACGCTTTTGGGACCGTCTTGGGTCCACCTTGGGTTCCTCTTGGGCCATCTTGTGTAGCAGTCTTGAGGACTCGAGAGCCCATCGGAAGCGAAAAGGCAAGCAACAGTGGTACTCTTTCAGTATTGGAAGGCGTTTGGCCTCTCCCGGCGCGGGTCCTTGGGAGGCTCCGTGGCAACGTGGAGCCGTCTTGGGACGGTCATGGCGCGTCTTGGAGGCGTGTTGGAAGCTACCTTGAGCCATCTTGGTTTTTTGTTTGCGACCCTGGAGGCCATCTTTGGCTGTATGGGGCGCTCTTGGGGCCCTCTTTGGGGCCATCTTGGGGCCGTCTGGGACGCTCCAACGCCGCTCGAGACGCCCCCCTCCCAGACCACGGGACAGGAGGTGCGAGGAGGGGCACCGCTCTCCCCCAAGGGAGGAAAATGGTTGGAGGAACGGGTTCGCTAAACCACCCACGCCCAGGGGGCCTGACCAGACAGCCGACGCGCGTTCTAATCCACACGCCGATGTGCCGCTGGCATGGTGGCGGATAGCTCCAACAACGCACCCACGGTGGAAGCACCCGTCAAGCTTCCACCACTCCCCGCCTCCTTCGTCCGTGGCCGCTTTGTCTCTCCAGCCTGCGCAGACGTCCGGGCGCGCCCACAGCACCCCGCAGGCCTCCTGCGCTTCCTCTGCCCCGCACGGCGATGATGGCGCCGGCCTTCCGCGCGACCGTGGCGCTGCTGCTCGTGGCGCCGGGGGGCGCCGGCCGGGCGCTCCCTGCGCTCCAGGCCGACAGCAGCCTCCTGGCCCGCTCCACGGAGCTGCGGCTGCGGGAGCGCGCGGCGCTGAGCCCGCCCGCCCGGCTGCAGCTGCTGCGCGCGGACGCCCAGATCGCCCAGTGCCTGCAGAGGCGCCGGGCCGACCCGACGCAGATCGCGGCCACGGTGCAGCAGGGCCTGTCGGCGGTGATGGGGGCGGTGAAGCACTTCATGATGCAGCCGCCAGAGGTCGAGCAGGGGCTCGACGTCCTCGGCAAGGGGCTCCTGGAGGCCATCAGCGAGCCCATCCGGGAGCAGTACAGCAACGCGACCGCCTACGCGGCCTTCGAGCAGGAGTGGATGGGCTTCTTCGAGACCGCTGTGAGCACCACCCCGGCCGTCCAGGGCAACATCACGCTCTTCCAGGAGGAGGGCCGCCCCGACGCGGTGATCATGGCCGTCTCCGACATCCTCTGGCTGTTGAGCGAAGGCGTCGTGAGGTTCGTCCCGCACGAGACGGCGCAGGAGGTGGCGAAGTACGTGGACGCAGTGGGCGACCTCCTGGGCGCCGTGGGCGCCAGCTGGGAGGGCTTCGGGAGCGGCCAGGAGGCGCAGGCCATCGAGGACCTCTACTTCGCGCTCAGGGGGGTCCTGGACCAGGTGCTGCCCGAGGACCTGCGGAACGACGAGACGTACAAGCTGGTCATCGGGACCCTCGACGGGGTGATCTACAGCCTGAGCGAGACGGTGCTGGACTTCCAGCGGCAGATCGTCGAGGGCACTGTGTGCTGGAAGGTGCAGGAGGCGAGGACGAAGAGGCGCCCGAATGTCTGCCCAGAGGGCTTCTACTGGAACGGCGAGCAGCTCTGCCTGCCCAAGCCCACGCAGGAGCCCGAGGAGCTGCTGCAGGAGGCGCACCGCGCTGGCACCGCGGGTGGGCTCGAGCGTGCCGTCGCCGGCAAGGTGGACGGCTCCGCGAGCGGCAAGCAGCCCATTCCCGACGGGGCCATGGTCGCTCTCTGCGAGGAGACCGGCAACTACACGGAGAAGATCGGCCACTGGTGTTACGCCGCCTGCCCAGCTGGCATGGCGTCGGTCGGGCTGCAGTGCAAGACGCAGTGCCAGGGCGAGTTCCCGGCTGACGACGGTGCGATGATGTGCGGGCACAACCCTGGCGTGCTCGCAGAGGCTGTCATGAACATGGTCATCGGCGTCGCTACTGGCGCCATCAATTCTGGCCTGCTCATCGCCTCGATGGCGAAGGACGGGGTTGATACGGACTCTCTCGTCAACACCATTCAGGCTTTCGTGAACATGGGCAAGCCTTTCGCGTACCAGACCTGTCCGCTGCCGGGCCGCTGATCGTGTCTTATGTGTACGACCTCTACTCGCGACGATGTACAGCGGGCGGGATGTGCTACAGGAGGTGTTTGCATGGGAGTTGTCCCGAAGTGGCAACTTGCTTGCAGCAAGCCATAAGTGCTTCTACCACCAATAGTGTGCGGAGTGCCTCTCTGCCGTCGGCCTTGACAGTCCGCGTAACAAGTGATGCCAGCGCGTGGACCCCAAACAGGGACTCAGTACCACCTTTCGGGTGCAACCTACAGGGCGAAGGCCAGAAAGTGCAACATACAAGGGCCAGTGAGGAGAATATGGGATCCTGTAAGAATGAAGGCGGCGTCTGAGAAGTGCGACATATCCAGCTGCCTGCGGCAAACCCCACCACCGTGCCAGCGCAACAACACACTAGGAAGGAGGTTCAGCTCAGGACTCGCTCCAGGTCAGCGCCCTGTCTGAAGTGGCGCGAGCCTTGAACGCCCCCTCCGTCTCTGGAGCCTCGTTCTCCCCTTCCTTCCTCTCTCCTTCTTCCTCTTTCCTCTCCTCCCTGCTCCCTCTTGAAGGCACGTAGCATAGTTCATGGAGGCGTCTCTGGGGCCTTTTGCGGGCCTCTCGGGGACGTCTTGCGCCACGGTTCTACTGAACGATCCCGAAGAGGCTCAGTTGGGCCGTCTTGGGGTCGTCTCAGCGTGTCTCAGGGCCGTCTTGAGGCCCTCCAGGGGTGATATTGGTATGTCTTGTGGGGTTCTCGGGCCATCGGGGGGCGCTCACGGGGCAATCTTGGCAGTCTTGGATTGGAGGCTTCTTGGTGCTCTCCGAAGCTTTTCAGAGGCGCTCTGAAGCCGAACAGCTTGTTGAGAACAGGAATGGGTGGGTTGGCGCGCAGGTCTTTGGTTGTCTCGGAGCCGTCTTGCGGCCAGAACGGACGTCTAATAGCATTATCCCCGCTAGCCCGTGAACAAAGACAATCACTGGGCGAGTTTCCCTGATCAGGAATGAGTGCGTAGCAGCATGCAGTGGACCAAGATGGGTGGCAGCCGTTGCAGTCGGAAAGGGGCAGAAGGAATGACCACGGAACGGAGGAGAAGGAGGGAGGGATACACGAGAGGAGGTGGAGAGGAAGAGGAGGAGGAGGAGGAGGAGGAGGAGGAGGAGGAGGAGGAGGAGGAGGAGGAGGAGGAGGAGGAGGTGGGAGGAAGAGATAATGAGGAGGAGAAGGGGGGGAAAACTACCAAGAAAAAGAAAACAAAGACTTGGAAGGATAAAAGAGGTGACGACGAGCGACGACGGCGACGGCGACGGCGACGGCGACAAGGACGACGACGGCGGCGGCGGCGACGACGATGGGAGTCAACCATAAAGCCTTTTGCGGGTCTTTCGCCTTGGGAGCCTCTTGGAAGCCCCTTGGGGTCATTGTGGGGCCTTCTTGGGTTTTGGATGCCTTTGGGGCCGTCTTGGAGCAATTTAGGAGCCCTTTGGGGCTCTCTTGGGCCCCTCTTGGGGCCCTCTTAGGGCACCGTTGTAGCTTTTTTGGGGGGCCTCGAGGGGCCCCGTGGGGCCATCTTGGCGGCCATGGATCATAGAAGGGGTGCAACTAGTTAGGTCCCCCCCCTGGAGTCCAAAAACTGCCCTCTTGGGGCGCTCTTGGAACGCTCTTGGGGCACTCTTGGACGCTCTTGGGACCGTCTTGGGTCCACCTTGGGTTCTCTTGGGCCATCTTGTGTAGCAGTCTTGAAGCCTCGAGAGCCCATCGGAAGCGAAAAGGCAATAAGACAAGCGACATTGGTGCTCTTTCGGTACTGGAAGGCGTTTGGCCTCTCCGCGTGGGCCCTTGGGAGGCTCCGTGGCAACGTGGAGCCGTCTTGGGACGGTCATGGCGCCTCTTGGAGGCGTGTTGGAAGCTACCTTGAGCCATCTTGGTTTTTTGTTTGCGACCCTGGAGGCCATCTTTGGCTGTATGGGGCGCTCTTGGGCCCTCTTTGGGGCCATCTTGGGGCCGTCTGGGCCGCTCCAACGCCGCTCGAGACGCCCCCCTCCCAGACCACGGGACAGGAGGTGCGAGGAGGGGCACCGCTCTCCCCCAAGGGAGGAAGCTGGTTGGAGGAACGGGTTCGCTAAACCACCCACGCCCAGGGGGCCTGACCAGACAGCCGACGCGCGTTCTAATCCACACGCCGATGTGCCGCTGGCATGGTGGCGGATAGCTCCAACAACGCACCCACGGTGGAAGCACCCGTCAAGCTTCCACCACTCCCCGCCTCCTTCGTCCGTGGCCGCTTTGTCTCTCCAGCCTGCGCAGACGTCCGGGCGCGCCCACAGCACCCCGCAGGCCTCCTGCGCTTCCTCTGCCCCGCACGGCGATGATGGCGCCGGCCTTCCGCGCGACCGTGGCGCTGCTGCTCGTGGCGCCGGGGGGCGCCGGCCGGGCGCTCCCTGCGCTCCAGGCCGACAGCAGCCTCCTGGCCCGCTCCACGGAGCTGCGGCTGCGGGAGCGCGCGGCGCTGAGCCCGCCCGCCCGGCTGCAGCTGCTGCGCGCGGACGCCCAGATCGCCCAGTGCCTGCAGAGGCGCCGGGCCGACCCGACGCAGATCGCGGCCACGGTGCAGCAGGGCCTGTCGGCGGTGATGGGGGCGGTGAAGCACTTCATGATGCAGCCGCCAGAGGTCGAGCAGGGGCTCGACGTCCTCGGCAAGGGGCTCCTGGAGGCCATCAGCGAGCCCATCCGGGAGCAGTACAGCAACGCGACCGCCTACGCGGCCTTCGAGCAGGAGTGGATGGGCTTCTTCGAGACCGCTGTGAGCACCACCCCGGCCGTCCAGGGCAACATCACGCTCTTCCAGGAGGAGGGCCGCCCCGACGCGGTGATCATGGCCATCTCCGACATCCTCTGGCTGTTGAGCGAAGGCGTCGTGAGGTTCGTCCCGCACGAGACGGCGCAGGAGGTGGCGAAGTACGTGGACGCAGTGGGCGACCTCCTGGGCGCCGTGGGCGCCAGCTGGGAGGGCTTCGGGAGCGGCCAGGAGGCGCAGGCCATCGAGGACCTCTACTTCGCGCTCAGGGGGGTCCTGGACCAGGTGCTGCCCGAGGACCTGCGGAACGACGAGACGTACAAGCTGGTCATCGGGACCCTCGACGGGGTGATCTACAGCCTGAGCGAGACGGTGCTGGACTTCCAGCGGCAGATCGTCGAGGGCACCTGGAAGGTGAGCGAAGAGGCGCCCGAATGTCTGCCCCGAGGGCTTCTACTGGAACGGCGAGCAGCTCTGCCTGCCCAAGCCCACGCAGGAGCCCGAGGAGCTGCTGCAGGAGGCGCACCGCGCTGGCACCGCGGGCGGGCTCGAGCGTGCCGTCGCCGGCAAGGTGGACGGCTCCGCGAGCGGCAAGCAGCCCATTCCCGACGGGGCCATGGTCGCTCTCTGCGAGGAGACCGGCAACTACACGGAGAAGATCGGCCACTGGTGTTACGCCGCCTGCCCAGCTGGCATGGCGTCGGTCGGGCTGCAGTGCAAGACGCAGTGCCAGGGCGAGTTCCCGGCTGACGACGGTGCGATGATGTGCGGGCACAACCCTGGCGTGCTTGCAGAGGCTGTCATGAACATGGTCATCGGCGTCGCCACTGGCGCCATCAATTCTGGCCTGCTCATCGCCTCGATGGCGAAGGACGGGGTTGATACGGACTCTCTCGTCAACACCATCCAGGCTTTCGTGAACATGGGCAAGCCTTTCGCGTACCAGACCTGTCCGCTGACGGGCCGCTGATCGTGTCTTATTTGTGCGACCTCTACTCGCGACGATGTACAGCGGGTGGGATGCGCTACAGGAGGCGTTTGCATGGGAGTTGTCCCGAAGTGGCAACTTGCTTGCAGCAAGCCATAAGTGCTTCTACCATCAATAGTGTGCGGAGTGCCTCTCTGCCGTCGGCCTTGACAGTCCGCGTAACAAGTGATGCCAGCGCGTGGACCCCAAACAGGGACTCAGTGCAACCTTTCGGGTGCAACCTACAGGGCGAAGGCCAGAAAGTGCAACATACAAGGGCCAGTGAGGAGAACATGGGATTCTGTAGGAATGAAAGCGGCGTCTGAGAAGTGCGACATATCCAGCTGCCTGCGGCAAACCCCGCCACCGTGCCAGCGCAACAACACATTAGGAAGGAGGTTCAGCTCAGGACTCGCTCCAGGTCAGCGCCCTGTCTGAAGAGGCGCAAGCCTTGAACGGCCTCTCCGTCTCTGGAGCCTCGTTCTCCCCTTCCTTCCTCCCTCCTCCCTCTTGAAGGCACGTAGCAGGGTCCATGGAGGCTTCTCTGAGGCCTTCTGCGGGCCTCTCGGGGACGTCCTTGCGCCACGGTTCTACTGAACGATCCCGAAGAGGCTCAGTTGGGCCGTCTTGGGGCCGTCTCAGCGTGTCTTGGGGCCGCCTTGAGGCCCTCCAGGGGTGATATTTAATCGCTTCGCTCATTCCACCGGCCCATATTGTCGCACCGTTGTGGGCTAGCCGAGTTTTGGGGCCTCTTGGGGGCCGTTGTGGGGCCTCTTGGGGCCTCTTTTGGGCCTCTTGGGCGCCTCTTTGGGGGCCTCTTGGGGGCCTCTTGGGGCCTTTTCGGGCCTCCTGGGCGCCTTCTGGGGCGGAGGGCTCGATTTTTCAGTTTTCGGTTCCCCTCTTGAGCCCCTCTTGGGCCCGTCTTGGGGCCTCTTGGTCCGTCTTGGGCGGCACTTGGGCCGTCTTGGGGGCCCTCCTGGGCCGTTCCGGGGCCGTCTTGGGAGCCTCGTGGGCCGTCTTGGAGCGGTCTTGGGGGCCTCTTGGGCCGTCTTGGAGCGTCCGGAAGCCGAAAAAGCCAGAACGCAAAAAACATCGAAACAAACAATGAAAATCAACGATTTTGGCCTCTTGGGGCCCTCTTCGGAGGCCTCTTGGAAGGCCCTTGGGGCGTCTTGGAGGCCTCTTGGGCTGTCTTGGGGCCCTGTTGGGCGTCTTCGGGCGATCTTTGGCCGTCTCGGGGCCCTCTTGGACCGTCTTGGAGGCTTCTTGGGGACCTCTTGGCCTGTCCTGGGGCCCTGTAACAGGGCTCCGGCATCTCTGGCCCGACCTTGCCGGGGACTTGCCGGGACCTTGCCGGGGACTTGCCGGGACTTTGCCGGGGTACTTTTCGTCCGGGGACCCCCAGGGGCCGCCCCGCGCGAACGATCCCGAAGAGGCTCAGTTGGGCCGTCTTGGGGCTGTCTCAGCGTGTCTTGGGGCCGCCTTGAGGCCCTCCAGGGGTGATATTGGTATGTCTTGTGGGGTTCTCGGACCATCGGGGGGCGCCCTCGGGGCAATCTTGGCAGTCTTGGAGGCTTCTTGGTGCTCTCCGAAGCTTTTCCGAGGCGCTCTGAAGCCGAACAGCTTGTTGAGAACAGGAATGGGTGGGTTGGCGCGCAGTTTTCATTGATTCTTGCATCTGAGGGCCTCGCTGGAGGCCTCTCTGAGCGTCACTCGGAGGCTTCCTGAGGCCTCTTGGGGTATTCTTGGGGGATCCTGGAACTCTGAGATGATGCTTGCCGCCCATGGTGTTGGGGCGTTTGGTAACCGTTTTGTGAGGTCTTTGGTTGTCTCGGAGCCGTCTTGCGGCCAGAACGGACGTCTAATAGCCAATGCTGGGGTGCGATTTTGTATCATCAAGGTTGCGAGTAGGTGGGGCCGCTTCTAGGACAACTTCTTGACACTCCGCGTAATTATTCCCGCTAGCCCGTGAACAAATACAATCACTGGGCGAGTTTCCCTGATCAGGAATGAGTGCGTAGCAGCATGCAGTGGACCAAGATGGGTGGCAGCCGTTGCAGTCGGAAAGGGGCAGAGAAATGACTACGGAACGGAGGAGAAGGATGGAGGGATACACGAGAGGAGGTGGAGAGTAAGAGGAGGAGGAGGAGGAGGAGGAGGAGGAGGAGGAGGAGGAGGAGGAGGAGGGAGGAGGAGGAGGAGGAGGGGGAGGAGGAGGAGGAGGAGAGAGGAGGAGGAGGAGGAGGAGGAGGAGGATGAGGAGGAGGAGGAGGAGGAGGAGGAGGTGGGAGGAAGAGATAATGAGGAGGAGGAGGGGAAGGAAAACTACCAAGAAAACGAAAACGAAGACTTGGAAGGATGAAAGAGATGACGACGAGCGACGACGGCGACGGCGACGGCGACAAGGACGACGACGGCGGCGGCGGCGACGACGATGGGAGTCAACCATCAAGCCTTTTGCGGGTCTTTCGCCTTGGGAGCCTCTTGGAAGGCCCTTGGGGTCATTGTGGGGCCTTCTTGGGGCCGTTTTGGATGCCTTTGGGGCCGTCTTGGAGCAATTTTGGAGCCCTTTGGGGCTCTCTTGGGCCCCTCTTGGGGCCCTCTTAGGGCACCGTTGTAGCTTTTTTGGGGGGCCTCGAGGGGCCCCGTGGAAAGAAGGGATGCAACTAGTTAGCCCCCCCCCCCTGGAGTCCGAAAAGTGCCCTCTTGGGGCGCTCTTGGAACGCTCTTGGGGCACTCTTGGACGCTTTTGGGACCGTCTTGGGTCCACCTTGGGTTCTCTTGGGCCATCTTGTGTAGCAGTCTTGAGGCCTCGAGAGCCCATCGGAAGCGAAAAGGCAATACGACAAGCGACATTGGTGCTCTTTCGGTATTGGAAGGCGTTTGGCCTCTCCGCGTGGGCCCTTGGGAGGCTCCGTGGCAACGTGGAGCCGTCTTGGGACGGTCATGGCGCCTCTTGGAGGCGTGTTGGAAGCTACCTTGAGCCATTTTGTTTTTTTGTTTTCGACCCTGGAGGCCATCTTTGGCTGTATGGGGCGCTCTTGGGGCCCTCTTTGGGGCCATCTTGGGGCCGTCTGGGACGCTCCAACGCCGCTCGAGACGCCCCCCTCCCAGACCACGGGACAGGAGGTGCGAGGAAGGGCACCGCTCTCCCCCAAGGGAGGAAGATGGTTGGAGGAACGGGTTCGCTAAACCACCCACGCCCAGGGGGCCTGACCAGACAGCCGACGCGCGTTCTAATCCACACGCCGATGTGCCGCTGGCATGGTGGCGGATAGCTCCAACAACGCACCCACGGGGGAAGCACCCGTCAAGCTTCCACCACTCCCCGCCTCCTTCGTCCGTGGCCGCTTTGTCTCTCCAGCCTGCGCAGACGTCCGGGCGCGCCCACAGCACCCCGCAGGCCTCCTGCGCTTCCTCTGCCCCGCACGGCGATGATGGCGCCGGCCTTCCGCGCGACCGTGGCGCTGCTGCTCGTGGCGCCGGGTGGCGCCGGCCGGGCGCTCCCTGCGCTCCAGGCCGACAGCAGCCTCCTGGCCCGCTCCACGGAGCTGCGGCTGCGGGAGCGCGCGGCGCTGAGCCCGCCCACCCGGCTGCAGCTGCTGCGCGCGGACGCCCAGATCGCCCAGTGCCTGCAGAGGCGCCGGGCCGACCCGACGCAGATCGCGGCCACGGTGCAGCAGGGCCTGTCGGCGGTGATGGGGGCGGTGAAGCACTTCATGATGCAGCCGCCAGAGGTCGAGCAGGGGCTCGACGTCCTCGGCAAGGGGCTCCTGGAGGCCATCAGCGAGCCCATCCGGGAGCAGTACAGCAACGCGACCGCCTACGCGGCCTTCGAGCAAGAGTGGATGGGCTTCTTCGAGACCGCTGTGAGCACCACCCCGGCCGTCCAGGGCAACATCACGCTCTTCCAGGAGGAGGGCCGCCCCGACGCGGTGATCATGGCCATCTCCGACATCCTCTGGCTGTTGAGCGAAGGCGTCGTGAGGTTCGTCCCGCACGAGACGGCGCAGGAGGTGGCGAAGTACGTGGACGCAGTGGGCGACCTCCTGGGCGCCGTGGGCGCCAGCTGGGAGGGCTTCGGGAGCGGCCAGGAGGCGCAGGCCATCGAGGACCTCTACTTCGCGCTCAGGGGGGTCCTGGACCAGGTGCTGCCCGAGGACCTGCGGAACGACGAGACGTACAAGCTGGTCATCGGGACCCTCGACGGGGTGATCTACAGCCTGAGCGAGACGGTGCTGGACTTCCAGCGGCAGATCGTCGAGGGCACTGTGTGCTGGAAGGTGCAGGAGGCGAGGACGAAGAGGCGCCCGAATGTCTGCCCGGAGGGCTTCTACTGGAACGGCGAGCAGCTCTGCCTGCCCAAGCCCACGCAGGAGCCCGAGGAGCTGCTGCAGGAGGCGCACCGCGCTGGCACCGCGGGCGGGCTCGAGCGTGCCGTCGCCGGCAAGGTGGACGGCTCCGCGAGCGGCAAGCAGCCCATTCCCGACGGGGCCATGGTCGCTCTCTGCGAGGAGACCGGCAACTACACGGAGAAGATCGGCCACTGGTGTTACGCCGCCTGCCCAGCTGGCATGGCGTCGGTCGGGCTGCAGTGCAAGACGCAGTGCCAGGGCGAGTTCCCGGCTGACGACGGTGCGATGATGTGCGGGCACAATCCTGGCGTGCTCGCAGAGGCTGTCATGAACATGGTCATCGGCGTCGCCACTGGCGCCATCAATTCTGGCCTGCTCATCGCCTCGATGGCGAAGGACGGGGTTGATACGGACTCTCTCGTCAACACCATCCAGGCTTTCGTGAACATGGGCAAGCCTTTCGCGTACCAGACCTGTCCGCTGCCGGGCCGCTGATCGTGTCTCATGTGTACGACGATGTACAGTGTGCGAGGTGCAAGAATTCGAAGAACTCCAGTTGCCCCCAAGCGGTAACTTGCTTGCAGTCAGGCAGAAGCGCTTCTATCATCAGTCACGATCCAAGTGGCTGTGGCGTTGCCTTTGGCAGCCGGGTTGCGATGACATGTTGGCGCCATCACACGCATGGCACAATCATGGCCCTCCTCCCGCATCGTCTCGTGTAGTGTGCAGTAAGGATGAGCGATTTTTCAAGGGTGCCCTTGCGTGCTCCCCCCTCTCGGCCCATCCTGGGCCGCTCTCGCTGGCCGCGCCCCGCCCTCGAAGTGTCGACAGGGCCTTCCAAGGCCCTCGCATCCTTCCTCGTGCGTCCTCGTCGTACAGGGAGGAGGAGGAGGAGGAGGAGGAGGAGGAGGAGGAGGAGGAGGAGGAGGAGGAGGAGGAGGAGGAGGGGTTGACCGTAGGTCGCGTCCGCTCGGGTCGATCGTCCGGGCCCCGGCCTCGTCGTCCCTCTGCGCGCGGGCGCCCGGGTCGGACGCGGTCGCGCGGGGCCCCTTTGCGGCCACGGGAGGCCTCCCTGGAAGCCCTCGGGGGGGCGGCAGACGTGCAGCAGCCTGCGTTTCCTCGCGACCTCCAGGGGCCACGACGGGAGGGAATGAGCACAAGGGGGGATGCGTCGACCCCCAGTCGCCCACTGATCGCCGACAGGGGCCCGACAGTCCCAGCCTGCGCAGCAACGCACGGACTCACGATCGGGGGCCTATCGCCGATCTATCTGCGGTGTGTCGCCGATTCCAGGCCGATGAGTCCCCCCCTGTGCCAGTCCCCGCCCATCGTTTCCCCTCAAACCTGGGTCCAGCGTCACCCTGAAATTCTAATACTATGTGTGCGTCGCCCCCCCAGGGGCGACGCGCGCACTGAGGAATCGTCCGGTGCGTGCGCCGTGGCGGGCGCTTTCTGGCCTCCCTGCTCGGGAAACGATGTGCCCTAAGACCTGTGCACGATATGTTCGGGTCGGACGCGCGGCTCCGAGGAGGACGCACGGTCAGAGTGAGGGGGCCGAGCGGTCATTCACTGTCCCTGGGTACGTGGCTGCAAGTGGGCTTCCGCGGTGCGGATTCTTGTTGTTTGTCGTCGTTGTCCCGCCCGCGACCCAGCCCGCGACCCACTCGCGACCCACCCGCGACCCACCCGCGACCCACCCGCGACCCACCCCGCGACCTAGCCGCGACCCACCCGCGACCCACCCGCGACCCACCCGCGACCCACCCGCGACCCACCCGCGACCCACCGCGCGATCCGCCCGCGACCCACCCGCGACCCACCCACGACCCACCAACAACCCACCCGCGACCCACCCGCAACAAACCCGCTACACACCCGCGACCCACCCGCGACCCACGCGCGACACACCCGCAACCCACGCGACCCATCCGCAACAAACCCGCGACCCAACCCACCCCACGACCCACCCGCGACCCACCCCGCGCCCGCTTATCCGCAGTTTCGGGGTGCTGCATGCCAGTATGTCCTACTGCGTCCCATGGGTGCGTACTAGGCTGGGATTGATGTGTGTTCTCTGCCTGGAGAACCGATCTTTCCTGGACCTCGTGAGGCGGTGTCTGCGTGTATACATAAACTAAGCTGTATGTGTATCGATTGTTTGACCGTCGCGGTACCAATCCAGGGTTGCGAGAGGGCCCATTTTGGGAGTCTCTTGATGCTGTTCTGGGGCCTTCTTGGGGGCTTGCTGAGCCGTCTTGGGGGTCTCCTGGGGCTGTCGTGGGGCGGTCTGGGGGCTCTGTTGGGCTGTCTTGGAGCCCTCTGGGGTTCTGTGGAGCCCCTTTGGGGGCCCTCTTTGGGTGTCTTGAGCACCTCTCTGGGCTCTTGGGTGTCTCTTCGGCCATTTTGGGACGATCTGGTGGGCCGCTTGGGCCGTCTCAAAGGCTCGGAAGACAGAAACAACGAGAAAACTAGCAGTTTACCAAAACCTTCGAACAATCAATAGTTTTTGCTCCAGGGTGCCTTCTCTTGGTCTTTCTTGGGGGTCAATGGTGCCATCTTGGGGCTATCGCGGGATGTCCTTGGTCTGTCTTGGGGGTCTTTTCGAGATCTATCGCTGCATTCGTGGGCCCTCTGGGGCCAGCTCGGGGCCATTTTGCTTCTGCCCAGGACGCTCAGGACCCAGCTTCCCAGCTCGGGAATCGAGTTTAGACTGGTCATTTCCTATGTATAGTTGCACCTGGCGTATCAGCTATGCGTATCTTCCCCAAGCAGTCCTTGCACTTAGGGTTTCTTATTTTTATTTTCTAAGGAGCTGGGCTCGTTGTCGGATCCCCCGCCTTGTTGCCGCTGTCGCCGCCTCGTCGCCGCCCGTCGCCTGGCTCGTTTGTCGGATCCGCCGCCTCGTTGCCGCCCGCCATCGCCGCCCCGTCGTCGCGTCGTGGTCGCCCGTCGTCTGGGCTCGTTGGTCTGGTTCGCTGCCTTGCTGCCGCCGTCGCCGCCCCGTCGCCGCCGTCGCCGCCGTCGCCGCCCCGTCGCCACCCCGTCGCCGCCTCGTCTGGGCCCGTCGTCTGGGCTCGTTTGTCGGGTCCGCCGCCTCGTCGCCGCCCCGTCGCCGCCCCGTCGCCGCCCGTGGCCGCCGCCCCGTTGCACAACACAGATTGCACCACACAGGTTGCACCATGTGATTGCACAATGTATGTATGTACGTATGTCTGGATGTCTGGATGTCTGGACGTCTGTCTGTCTGTCTGTCTGTTTGTCTGTCTGTCTGTCTGTCTGTCTGTCTGTCTGTCTGTCTGTCTGGATGTCTGTCTGTCTGTCTGTCTGTCTGTCTGTCTGTCTGTCTGTCTGTCTGTCTGTATGTATGTATGTATGTATGTATGTATGTATGTATGTATGTATATATGTATGCATGCATGCATGCATGCATGCATGCATGTATGTAGGTATGTCTGTATGTATGTATGTATGTATGCATGCATGCATGCATGCATGCATGTATGTATGTATCTATGTATGTATGCATATTTATGTATGTATGCACACATATATATATATAGATATTCATGTGCACATACAAAAGGGGCAGCCCACCAGTACCCATTCGTACTTACTTACGACGGTGGTGCTCTTCATTTCCCCCTTCTCTTTCTCCCCCTCTCTCTCTCTCTTTTTTTTTTTCTCTCTCTCTCTCTCTCTCCCTCTATCTGTCTCTTTCTCTCTGCCTCTCACTCTCCTTCTCTCCCTCTCTCTGTCTCAGTTTCCCTCTCTTTCCCTCTCTCTCTCTCGCTCGCTCTCTCCCTCCAGACACCCAACACAGTTCTTGTAAACAGCCAGATTGTTGCGATGTCAGGGGTGCAGAAACCATGTGGCTCCATTTGGATTTTTGTGGTTTCTGGGATGGGAAGTGAGGAAACTAAATGCTTACTTTTTGGGTTCTTTTTGGCGGATTTCCTCCCTTCGTGCAAACAGCCAACCCTGGAGCCCTCCCAGGAGCTCCGATCACCAGAATCCCAAAGATCCAAACGATCCATTTGAAAGTACATGGTTTCCTCAATTTTCACACACAGGGTTTGCGATGTCAGGGGTGAGGACACCTGGTGTTTTCATTTGGATTTCGGGGATCTCTGGGATGAGAAGTGAGAAAGCCATGTGTGTTCCATTTGGTTGTTTCGGATTTTTGTGATTTTCCTTTCTCCAGCGAAAATCCAACCCATGAGCCTTCTCAGGAACTCCGATCCCCATAATCTCAAACCTCACAACAATCATAATGATTCCGGCAAAACAACCTAATAGCGATGTGTATGAGCATATCTGGAAGCATTCCCCTTAAGATTATCCAGTTGTAGAATTCTGCTGTTCTCGCAGTCGCAGTCGCATTCGCAATGACAGTCGCAGTGGCATCGGCCTTAGGATCCAATGGAATCCTAAGGATTCCTTGGGATTCCTAAGGCATCCTTAGGCATCCTTAGGAATTCATAGGAATCCTTAGGAAACCTTAGGAATCCTTAGGAATCCGAATTCCTAGGGATTCCTGGGGATTCCTAAGGATTCCTAGGGAATCCTAAGGATTCCTAAATATTCCTGAGGATGCTTAACTATGCCTACGGATTCCTAAGGATGCCTAGGGATTCCTAAGGATTCCTAAGGATTCCCATGGATTCCTACGGGTGTATCAGCCTGCCTCAGTTTCAGCCTCAGCCTCAGCCTGCCTCGGCTTGCCTCAGCCTCAGCCTCAGCTGGCCTCGGCCTCAGCCTCAGCCTGCCTCAGCCTCAGCCTCAGCCTGCCTCGGCCTCAGCCTGCGTCAGCCTCAGCCTCAGCCTGCCTGAGCCGCAGCCTGCCTCAGCCTCAGCCTCAGCCTCAGCCTCAGCCTCAGCCTGCCTCGGCTTGCCTCAGCCTCAGCCTCAGCCTGCCTCGGCCTCAGCCTGCATCAGCCTCAGCCTGACTCAGCCTCCCCTCCTCCCCCCCCCCCTTCCCCTCCTTCCCCATTCAGCCTCACCTTGTCTCAGCTTCGGCCTGCCTCGGCCTCATCCTCATCCTCAGCCTCAGCCTCAGTCTCAGCCTCAGCCTGCCTCGGCCTCAGCCTCAGCCTGCCTCGGCCTCAGCCTGCCTCAGTTTCAGCCTCAGCCTGTCTCAGCCTCAGCCTGCCTCAGCCTCAGCCTCAGCCTGCCTCGGCGTGCCTCAGCCTCAGCCTCAGCCTGCCTCGGCCTCAGCCTGCCTCGGGTCAGCCTGCCTCAGCTCGGGCATTCAAAATATAGCACAGGACTGGTGTTCTGGGAACACGAAGATCACGAAGTGGCCCACAGATGGCTCCGGGCAATCAAAATGTGGTACAGAAATGGTGTTCTGGGAACACGAAGAACACGAAGTGGTGTACAGTTGGCTCCGGGCACTCAAAATGTGGTACACAAATGGTGTTCTGGGAACACGAAGAACACGAAGTGGCCTACAGTTGGCTCCGGGCATTCAAAATGTGCCCTGGGAATGGTGTTCTGGGAACAGAATCCATAGGAAACTATAGGTATCTATAGGAGTCCTGGGGAGTCCCCGGGTTCCCCGGCTTCTCCCGGCACCCGCCCAGACCCCCCTGGGGAGTCAAGATGTTTTCTTTTGAGCCCACTAGAAACTTATCGGTCTTCGCTGTTAGGTAATGAAAACACATGGTTTCGTCATTTCTCATCCCAGGAACCCCCAATTCTCAATGAAAACACAGGGTTTGCGACGTCAGGGGTGCAGAAACCATGTGTCTTCATTGGGATTATTGCTGTTTCTGGGGTGGGAAGAGAGGAAACCATCAGTTTTCATTCCCAACCAACCTGTGTTGTTGGGTCTTCGTTTGAAGAGACAGCGCCCCGCGTCCCTGCTCCTCC